ACGTGAAGAAAATCTGTTTTGGAATGTGATTAAGGAACGTGGCATCTATATAGAAAATGGTGTTATTGCAGTCAGTAAATGAAGTGCTTCAGAATAACCCCCTATTTTCAGGGGTCTAAAATCCTACGTTAAACACTCCCTCTGCAGTTAAAATCCTGAACACAGAAGCACGTGCCTTTTTCCTTCTGAGAAGAATTCTGTAGCCTTTGGTTACCTGTATTTGCTCTGCAGCTTTTCTTTCTCCATTTGCTCATTAATGCTTTTTCTTAATGGTTTCTCTAATATTGCTGCTTCTGGTTTGAGACTTTTACAAGAGTTGGAAGAGCAGAAATGCAAAATGATGCTGAAAATTCCATTCAGGGCTTATTTGGAAGTCTTTAGCCAAGAAAAAGCAGAGTACACTTTCAGTCTTACCACCTTGTAACTGTGGAGAAATTCAGTTTCTTAACGGAAAGCCTTCAGGTGTATCATTAAGGTAGTTTGGCTGTTAAGAGACAACCACAAAAAGCAGAGAAGCTCAGTTACAGACTAAACGTTGAATGCCTGGTTTGCTTTCTGGTTTGGAAACGTTCCAGTTGAAAATCTCTGGTTTATGGTAGATCTGTTGTGTGTGAAACCAATGAAATATGATTTTGCACTTAAGGAACTGGACTCAGAGCATGCTCATGCCTATTAAAAGAACCCTGAATAATCTATCCTTTAATTTATGTAAATTTATTCTTGGATAGCTGTGAGCACTGAGTCACAGGCCTCAGCTCTTAGTTTGGCAATACTGGGGTCAAGCTACAGCTTGATGTTAAGGAGGTTGGAAATGGACTACTACATGTTCAACCAGTTTTGTCATCTGTGTTTTTTTGTTCTGTGTTTTCTTAATGACTTTTGACACTGTTTCCTCTCAGAAAGTTTTAGAATAGGAAAATCTGAAGGGTCAGGAGAGGGAAGGATTTCTACTTATTTCTCACTTCCCTTTCCCCAGGATGTGTCCAACGAGACTGTGTGCAGTTGCTGGTTTTGCAGTCAGATGACATCCTTTCTTCTTCCTCCTTGAAGCAGAGACTGTGTAAAATGAAGTTTTCATTCATACCTTCATGTTCTATTGCCTTTCTGTTCCCGATAAATACAAAATAGTGAATGATGGTTCCTGTCGACCTGCTGTGAGACACGCCTCCAAAAGGGGTGTATAATAGTTGAAAGCCTTGAATTCAAGTGAAAGTAGCACTGCTCCTTCCTCAGCTGAGGCAAAAGGTGCTCCCTGAGCACTGCCTCACTCTCTGCCCACATGAACCAGCTCTTGTGCTAGCTGGAGTATAACTTCACTATGTTTGCAGAAATTGGAAGGTAGATGGTGAACGAGGCAAAGGCTTGCCATGGGGAGCAGCATAAACAGTCATAGAACTACTGAAAGCTGCTTCTGCTTTCAGCCTCTGCCTGCTGCCAAGAGGGCTAATGAGGATTTGTCACTAGTGTGTTGTGAGATGATATTTGAAGCAGCTTCATTGCTAGATAAAAATCAAAGCTCTGTGTGGGAAGTCCACAGCTGCCTCACACTGCCTTACACCTCTCCCTTGGCAGCAGCTGGACTTAGAGGGATCTTTGGTCAGGTGAGGTCATTCCTTGTAGCTGCCAAATGATGTGAGACTCCAAAGCCTGGGCAACAGCTGCTTCCTGAGCCGTGCTGTGCAGCCTGTAGCATGTTGTTCCCTATCTGATGGGGAAGGAGCTGCAGTGCAGACTCCCTGCCTCCCTCCCTCCCTCCTTCCTTCCTTCCTCCCCCCCTATGGCCCACAGGGAAGAACAGCATGGCTGTGTTAGAGGCTTGGGGCTAACACAGCTCCAGCTGGGGAAATGCTTTGATCTGGTTATTTCCTAACATGGGAGTAGCTGATCTTATTATATTAAAGCTCCATTAAAGAGACATGGAAGCCTCATGTCATATTCCTCAATTTCAAGATGACAAGCTGAGCAGGTAGGGAAGTGTTAGCACACTGTGCTGTTCTGAGGCATGTTTTCCTTGAGGCTGAAATCATCTACTGTAGTTTACCACACCTTAAACTGGTTCCACCACCAGTGCACTGTCACTTAACCCAGCTGTGGTGCTAAAAGCAGGAGACAGCCCTGCCTTGGGCATGCATGCTGTTAACCTGTTCCATGTTACAAAGGGAAGGTTTTCCTGTAGGTGCTGACTCTCAAGTCCTTCAAACAGGATGCTCTGCTACTTGTCCCAGTCTTGTTCTCCTCACTGCATTACCAGTAAATCTGGACAAGTCTCTTCCTAGTCTCACAATGGCTCTATTTCAGAACTGAGGGTGTCAGGGCCTTTTTAGCAATGTATTTTCCCTGCCCTGATTTGGGAAGCAGCTGAATCACCCAGGCTGCCAATTTAAGTGGCAGGTGCCTGCCCTCCTCTTCTGGAAAATTCTGGTTAGGGCAATAGAGAGAAGGGGAAAGCAAAGAGAGATTTAATAACCCGGAGGGAGCTGTGTTTAATGTGGCAAGTTTCAACTGGGGTGTTCAGTAAGAAGCCAGCAGTTTGCTAATGGGCAGCTGTAATAACAGCCACTGTTACCAGCCCTGCTCCATCAGCCTTACTCACAGAGCTGTAATGACATCAGTTTGCTTAAAACATCCAAGTCTGGTGCCAGAGAATTTATGGCTTGTCTGGTTGCCAGGACAACTCAACGTTATGGATGTGTTATCTCCAATTTGTTGGCTTTGCTCTAATGTCGGGGTTTGGGTTGTTTTGTTGTTTTCTTTGTTGTTTGCTCCCACAGTGGCTCATGGAACTGGTATTTACTTTAGCTATTCTTAAATCACGATTAAAAAGGAGTGGGAGAGGTGCAGGTCTTCATTGCACTGCCATTTAATGTCTGCTGAGAGTGGAATGAGACCCCAGCTGAGGTTCTTCTGGTAGGTTATTGGAATAGGACTAATAGACAAATGGGGGTTTGGAGCATTTAACTGTAGGATGTTAATGCTGCCACTGTTACTATTGGAAGGAGACAAACACTTCATTGAGAGCAGCAGGTTGAGACTGTAACCCTGTTCCAGCTGACCCTGAGCTATCCAAGGAAAAAGCAGGACAAGCCTCCTCCTTCCTAGTGTCCTGCCAGCTCAGGAGAGCAGAGGCTGATGTGATCTTCCCTGCTTGTGTCTCCTTTGGCTGCTGTTGCAGATGTGTGTATCCACGCTGTCCTCCTGGAACAGCTTCACAGCATGCTCCCCTCAGGTTCCAGGTCCTTAGGATGTGCTGCTACTTCCTTGTCCCCTCCCCTCGTCTGGCAGTATGTTGTTAGAGGAAGGCTCAGAAAAGGCAGAACTCAAACAAGAAGCTAAACTCAACCCCCTACTTCCTGCTTTTGTTCAGTGCCAAAAGCACAGCAGGAACTGTTTTCCTGCAAAAGACCTGCTGTTTTGCCTTACTTTGCTGCAGGCTGTTGTCTTCCTGTAGGGATGGAGTAGATCGGGAAACACTGGTTCTCTCATATTGTAAAAAGAAATCTAATGCTCCAGCAACAGGAGAGCACTGACCTGTGTGTTGTGCTAAAGGAAGTTAAATTACGGCAGACTTTTTGTAAGTGTAAAATTACTGCTGTGAAAGTGATTATTACGTTACTTAGTGCGTATTTATCCTTGTCACACACAGCTTCAGCAGCACCTCACATCTTAACATCAGTTATCACAGAGCCATGTCTCCTGTGACCTCTGCCTACAGTTATCACAGCCACAGGCTCTCCTACCACACTTGTCCACGTTATTGCCCCAGGAGGTGGTTTGATCTCAAGTCTGTGGCAGGTCAGCAAAACCACATGAAAGCAGCTGTACTGGGCCAGACAAAGATCTGTTTGGCCAAATGTCATATCCCGATGGCCATCAAAACAAGACACAAGAAGAAAGTGACAACACACAAATAAATTAGTTGTCCCACTCACCAGCAGTGTGGAACTTACAACCTTCTTTTGCTGGTGTAGTGTCCATGGATTTAGTATTCCTCAATGGATTCCCTTTGATGGAAATGCCCATTCTCTTACATTCATGTCAGCTTTTAGTATCTGTAATGCCCTTTGATAAGAACTTCGAAGTTCAACTACATGTTGAGCTTTCTGCACTACCCCTAATCCACTGAATCACAGACTGGTTTAACGGACCTTAAAGCTCATCCAGCTCCAACCCCCTGCCACGGGCAGGGACACCTTCCACTAGAGCAGCTTGCTCCAAGCCCCTGTGTCCAGCCTGGCCTTGAACACTGCCAGGGATGGGGCAGCCACAGCTGCTCTGGGCACCCTGTGCCAGTGCTTCAGCACCCTTATAGGTATTAGGAAGAAGTTTTTTACTAATCTAAATCTTCCACTCCCAGTGGCTTGCAGCCCCATGTGAAGCTGGATTATCCCCTTTACCAAGCTCATTACTTTTCACTTACCCATTTGGTGTTTCACCTGTTTTTACTTTGGTATTAAAAACTTTCTGCAGCTCTTTGCAGACAGCCCTGGTTGCCTGGCTAATTCTGATGATCACTGCACTGATCACTAAGATAATCCTTATGCCACATCTCAAAAGGCAGCTTTTCTCTTTAGATAAGCACCATCAACTTGCAAAGGTGGGATCTCTCATTGTCCACAAGGTCAGGAAGCCACAGGATTTCCCAGTGGCTTCAGTGTAAAAACAAGTTCTAAATGTCAAGAGGTTCAGGCCTCAAAACTCCTTCAAAGATATTGAGAAAGACAAGAATCCCTTTGTAACCAAGTTTGACACCTATTTCCTGAAGAGTTCTTATTGAACAAATATTATACTGCCATCAGGGTTGCTTTCTCTAGTACCACTTTAATGGCTACCTCACTCATGCCTCATCCTTGCAATGAGTGTTCCTAAATACAATGGAACCCACAGAGTAAGTATTCCAAGAACCAGCTCAACTTCACCCAAAGGACTATGCTGCAACCACCTTTACCAGCTGTGTAAAGCAGCGTGTCAATAGCTGCAGCCACATCAGCAGCCACACAACCTTTTGTATTCAATAATCCTTTAATTAAGAAATCAATCACAGGAGGAAGCATCCAGATGCTGCTTGTGACAAATACCGTGTAATGCTGCTTCCTGGTACCAGTCGTGTGTGTATCTCCCTGTGGGCTGGGCCTTGCAGTATCCTTTTGCAACGTCTGCCTCTTCATAGACCACAGCCCTGTACACCAAGTCTTGTATGTATGCCACCATAAATTCATGACACAGGCGCACAGGCCGGATGAATTTGTTCATACATTCAGAATTCACTTCCACCAGAGCACACTTTCCTATATTAAGCCAATCTCTAAATTCCCCTGTTGTAGAAGAACTCTGTTTCTTCTGTAGATGAGAGAATTTCTGGCTCAAGGTCTGCTCGCTTTATCTGCAAGGTACAGAGAAAGGGAATCAACACCATTCCTGGTAAGTATATGATAAACCCTCCATACTGCATTGAACTTTGCACAGATTGTAATAGTGTGTTCAGGAGCAAGACTGGATGGGATTTGGGGTTCCAAGAGGTTTTTGGTTTGGGGCTTTTTTTCCTTCTAAGGAAGAAATATGCTTCATTTAAAATCAGCGGTACTCCTGAGATCTAAACACAGCATTACTGACATTATCTCCAGTCACTATAGAACCATTTAGGTTGGAAAAGACCTCAAAGATCATCAAGTCCAATTGTAAATATATTTGGGTGATGCGCCCAGGAGAATGAGTGCTGTGGGTTGGGCAACTGGGAAGTTCAAAGGGAACCAACCTCCAAAGCTCGGTATATAGCTTCTAAAAAGCCCCCTCATTTCTTTTCAGTTTATCCTTGTCATAAGAGATTAAGAAATCTAAAAAAAGATATTACAATGCCAGAAAGTTCAGGCAAATAAAAGAAACCACTGGAAACTGCAAGAGCCAGTCAGTGATTTTCTGAGCATACTCACACAGTGCTGGTAAGGGAGAGGAAATAAATGCAGAAAGGAATCCCAGGCTCCACTCCCACTTGGCCTTCTCCAAAGCACAAGGTTCAAGGGCTACATAGAATCCCAGACTGGTTTGTGTTAGAAGGGACCTTAAAGCTCATCCAGTTCCAACCCCTGCCACAGGCAGGGACACCTTCCACTAGAGCAGCTTGCTCCGAGCCCCTGTGTCCAACCTGCCCTTGAACACTGCCAGGGATGGGGCAGCCACAGCTTCTCTGGGCACCCTGTGCCAGCGCCTCAGCACCCTCACAGGGAAGAGCTTCTGCCTAAGAGCTCATCTCAGTCTCCCCTCTGGCAGGTTAAAGCAATTCCCCTTGGCCTGTCCCTACAGGCCCTTGTCCAAAGCCCCTCTCCAGGTTTCCTGCAGCCCCTTCAGGCACTGGAGCTGCTCTCAGGTCTTCCCTTAAGGAGCCTTCTCTTCTCCAGGCTGAACCAGCCCAGCTCTCTCAGCCTGTCCATTTAATGCCTGCCAAGAAAGCTGCCCTTCCCCGAGAACAATTACACTTCACAGTTCAGTAAGGCAGGTGAAGAGATGTCTGTCACATGTGAGGTGGTTTACCTCTGACAAGCTCATGCTGACTTTGCATCTACATCCTCCCTTTCTCCAGCAGGACTGAAAACAGTGCTGGAAGAGCCTTGGTTTCAACCTTTAAGACAGCTCTCCTGACCCTGCTTGCTTCAAAGTGCTGTGAAAACCTGATTTATATTTACACTTTCAATGCAGATTTGTACCACACAACACAATTTAGACCTAGAAAGCCTTGCAATCCTCTGCCTAGTGCATAGGCCTTCACAAGCAGCCGCTACTGCCCCTTTTTAAATGCACAACCACATTAACCTTATTGTTTGTTTTCTACATGGCCTCAAGACTGCTGGGTATAGTTCTGGAATGCCTGTTTAATGTAACAGTAATCCTAAATCAGTTCCTGTGACAGGACTTACCTCTCCACACGGCGGAAACATACTGAGTGAGACCGGCAGCATCCCTGTTAGTACTGATGTAATCACAAACATTCTCATTAAAGCCAAAGTACGCGGAGTCTTCACCATTTTCGCTCTGCCCAAGACATTGAGAAAGTAAATATGTCAGTTTAGGCTTGAAAAGTAACCTGACAGTGAGACAAAAAGCACTAGCTCTTATTTCAGTGGTTGAAATAGCACTGAAATGAGCAATAACCAAGGCTTAGAAATCCTAAGAATACTTCCTTACTTGATGTCCTGTGCTCTTATTCCTAACTCCTGTTCTTCCCCTTTGTTCTGTATTTAGCTGCAGCATTTGCCAAGTCTAGATTGTCAATACATGATTAAGAAAATAAGCAGCAGGATCAAAGTGACAAAAGAAGAGCTGCATTAGCACTTTAAAGCCTCTCAGTTCTGTGCCTAAGATTTTTCTTGCATTACTCTCTTTCTCCTTAGATTTAGCTCCTCTTGTTAAGTCCTACTTTGCCTTGTGCAAAAATTTATTACTCCACATCTATTCAAAGTTTTATCTTACATCAGTATTTATGTCTTCTGGTAACAGGAGTCCCTTGAGCTAAAGAAGGGGATAAGGAATTGATTTAGGCAATACCAAATGACACAACGTTGATGATCCCTACTTGTGTTATGTACAGGATATAGATGATCCCTACCAAAAGCTCAGGGCAGGCTAAGAATTCTCTCACAAAGCATACAATGAATTCTTCTTATAATACACGGTTTCTAAAGGTTGCAAGAGCAGGTTTTACAATACATGAATAAGTGTTTCCAAGCTGGGATCCAGTTTTTGTTGCAAGTTCAAGAGCCATATTTTCTCTGCAGCACTAACAGATCTAAGCTAAGTGCTGTGACCACCCTCTACACCAGACACTGGGATCCAAATCAAGTTAGGGAAGCTAGGTGCTGGAAAACAGCCTGCCAGGAGAGCACAGGCATGTTTCCTGTAAGGGAGGAGAGAGGAAATCCTTATAGCTTTACACAGCCTCCTGCAAACCCTCACCACATGGATGTGGGCATAACCAGACTCACTTAGCTAAATGAATCACAGTAGCTGAACCGAAACATCCCAGATCATCACTTGTACCAAGGCAATACTGCAGACCCAAGAACGAGTTGGCAAGTGGTAGCAGCCAGGTTGAACACCAGCAGACACCCCAACCAGGCACCCCCAGCCCTTTGGCAGCCCCTCCTACCTTTCCACAAGGTACGTAACCACGGGTGGCAGGAAAAACGTTGTCCCAAACAAGACTGCTCGTGATATCGCTGTTTCTTTAACAGCCTTGAGGGAGAGAGGAGAAGAAATGATGTTAAAGCAGTGTGTGCAGCTTCAAATACTGCATGTTTATCTGAGCACTTCTTTGTCTAATGCGAAGTTTCAAGCAACAGGATAATGGGGAATTAGAACACTTCTTAGAAGAATTCTTTCTTACGTGGAAACTAAACTCCTACAAGTGGCAAATAGTCCACTTGTGACTAAGAAATACCTTAAAGGGTAAGTGAAACTACTGATGTCGTATCAAGGTTTCCTATCATGATAGTAATTTTGCTGAGGGTTGCTCTTTTTAAGCTGTGCTGAACTTCTTCCAAATGGCTGTACCTTCTGGGCATCCTAACTAGTTCTCCCTCCAGCTCTCCATAAATCTTTACGCTCAAAGAGCTGCTTCCTCCCCTCTGGACAGCAGCATAGAAAAGGAGGGTCATTGACATCACATAAAATGTGACTCCTTCTAGTTCCTATGCCAGGCTCTACAGTGGACGCTGATGAGCAGAGCAAGGAGCAGATCCAGGGTAAGCAGCTGGAGCCCAAGGCTAAAATGCACCAGCACACTGTAGATCAGGGCACTACCCTGTGGGAGGCACAGCCTTTAAATAATATTCCCACTGGAGGAGATGCATGCGATACATACAATACAGGGCTTTTCTCTGAGGTGTCCCATCAGAAGGTCCAGAAGTCTTGTCTCCTTCCAAGATGACAAGGGAAAGCAGCAATGCCTGTGCTAGGGTCTCTGGGGCTCAAGTCTGACAATCAGTATATTGCTCAGGGGAGGCTGCTAGCCCTTGAAGACACAAGGGTTGTAGAACCTTGGTCCAGAAACCTAGCCCAAAGCCTACCCAAAGGTTCAGCACGTGACCTGGGATTCTTCATGTCAATATATCCAACCCTGTCAGCCCTCAGCACCACATTCAGCTCTCAGCAGGAACCAAAAGGCACATCAGGAGAGGCCTCCACCCTGTCACCTACCTTCTCACCAGCCTTCTGCGACACTCCTACAACCTTGCCATTTCTGTCCATCACTTTAATTCCATTGTCAAATTCTGGGCTTCTCGTCACCACCACAGTAAACGCAGTCATCAAGCCTGCAGAGTTAGAGAGGATTTGGCTTTGAAAGATCCAGAACTACCTCAGTAGCAACATTCATAAGTACATGCATTTCACACTTCCAGTTCAGCAGTTCACAACTGAATAACCTGGCAGCTTAAGAGGCTGCCCCACAAAAAGCTGCTTGGGATCTTGAGTTAGATTTTAAGGCCCCAATCCTAAAAGGTGCTTTATCATTACAGACTCGGAGCTTTCAATCACTGTCATCCAGTTCAAACCGTGAGTACTTTGTGGATGGATCTGTGTTGTTGAAAGGTTTTGTACTGGTCAGCACAGAAGAAAAGACCCAGAAGAGAACAGACTTTACTTAAAGGCTGCACCCCCGATTTGAAAGGGAGGGTGTCAGGGGAACACTGGCTCTAATATGTTCCATTATGGACTTGTGACAGACACCTGGGCAGAGAAGTGGCAATGCTTCAGCTGGATCCGAGACGAAAACGTTCCAGTCTCCTCCGGACCGAGCTTTACAAGGTGCCTGAAAAAACCCATCCCACCGTCAGTCACCGAAAACACAAACCTTGGCACTTACAAAGGTCGTATCTAATGGGAGTTAGTAACCTAGCTGGTTTCCTCCTTTCTATTTTCTAGACCTTGGTCAGCCTGGCAAACTGACCACGCTTGAAACAATAGATTTCTCTTTTTATTACTTTTGGGCAGTGCTGTTCAATAAACGCGTCAGTGTAACAGATGGCACTTTTCAAATGCTGCACTAATATTAGACAATTACCCTCAGGTTTCTCTCTGCATTTAAGGAAATGGAAGCACACTTTAACACCTACTCCAAGGGAAACAAGTCAGAAAGCTCTAATGCAGATCCTCAGAACGATCTGGGGAGCCATCTCACTTAACCTGGAACAGAGGAGATGACGTGTTTTAATTTTACCAGCTTCCCCCTAGGAAAAGCCAAAAGTGTCTTCAATGACATTAGAAAACCAGTCGATGACATCAAACAGCAAAACTCGTCCTGGTGCAATTTCACCATGTCAGTAGAGAGTTTCAGTGCTACTACCTTGCAAGGTTAGTGATATTCTGTTGTAACAACTCTCTATGCTGTCAGCAGTTTCATAGCCAGCAGCATCTGAGTAAGGAACTATGGAGTGCACACCCAGAGCTATGTTGCACTCTGGTGTCACATATGTGCCACACAATGTCATATCTATCACAGTCCTGACAGTCCTGATGGTTTCAAGTATGATGTGCAAGCCAAAGAAAAATGCATCCCTGGAGAAACAGTTGCATGTCATGCATACACAAAGGCCAGGAGAGTGCTCTGCAGCTTTACAATTGAAAACCAGCAAGATCAAGAAGTCAGTTCCACTGATCAGTGAGCATCAGCTCTCACACAGAAAGGATGGTACCCAGCAAAGGCATTCACAGAAGGAGGCTAGGAAACAGTAAGACCACACCTCTGCAAGATATCTCTACAGTGAGATGGGGTGAGGAAATGGCCCTCAGACCAGCTGCACGAGGCACAGTTCCTCTTTACTCACCAAGCAGAGGAGCAGGTAGGACTTTTTTGATGATTAGATGTGTTAATGGACTCTTCAGCGTGTAACGATTCATGAAGACGAGAGGAAGAGCCTAATGCATGGGGAGAAAACAGGGACCTTCTATTAAAGGAAATGTGCAGCATTTCAGTGTGTGCAGCAGGTTAGGAAAATAGATCTGTGACTTAGCACGTAGTTATCATCTGTAAAAATAAATGCCTTGGTTTAACATCCCAGCAAAATGCAGATGTGCTCTGAAGGTGTTTGTAATCGCTCTTTTAGATAAGAATACAAAATATCATGATGAAAAAAAGCATTAAACATTATTATGTAGAGGACAGCAGCAGTGTGAATAATAAAGATAGAACACAATTACCTCTGACTAATATTCCCTGGGCACCCATCCAGCTGCCTTGCATCCCATACCACTCTCTCCCCCAAACAGGAAACCTGGTTTACTTGTGTATTTGTTACTGATTCCCTGTGGTTTCAGCCTGATTCTATATTCCCATAATACAGGAAAGTTTCCTTTAGGAATAAATAGCCAGTACACCAGCTAGTGCTCACAGTCTCCCTTGGAAAACAAAGGGGAAGAACTCCCACATTCACCCATGGGCATAGCTGCCTCCCCAGACCTCTGTAAGTCCTGAGCACTGCTGGCCAAACTGTTTTACCTAGTGGAAAGTGGCTGCAAGTCCCTCTAACAAAAGCAGGAATACTCATATTCTTCTGCCAGCAGGCTTATAAAAATCACTGTTTAGTGTGGAGAGTGAGAAAATGCATTGTAAGGGCAGATACACTTGCAATGAGTGTCGTATGAGGACACCAGAGCTCATTCTGACATAGCAAACTCCAGAAACCAAATACCTATTCCAGCATAGCACAGGGCTAGCTCTGTAGCCCTCAGGAAGGCTAATTTACTTGCATTCCATTCAATGCAGTATTTTCATGCTTATGCTGTCTCAGATATATGAGCTCACTCTATCCAGTACAGATGCCTGCAGATTTAATCACTTGTTTAGGGACAGACAGATCACTTCCACCGTACGGCATAAAAACATCAACTCCAACCCAGTGGGTTACTCTGTGTTTGTAAACCTTGCCTATTTCCTCTCACTACCATTTCTTAAGCTTGCAGAATGAAAAGGACAGAAAAAGAAACATCAGAGGAAGATAAGCAAGGTATTGGCTGGCAGATGATCAGGAAAATTGTTATCCTGAACAGTTCTGGGGCAAGACACCAGAGTAGAGCATCAGAGCACAATGCTGAAGGATGATTTGGCAGTGTGATTGTCTCAGTGCCTACTCCTTCTCTGGAGAGCTTATTAGGAAGGCAAGCATCAAGCAAATACATACACCAATACACGCTGCATAGGAAACAGCTCCCAGGCTGAGGAAGATCTGCTTTTCTTGAATCGAGTACTCCTAAGGAGGACAGAAGAAACACATTCTGTAAGTCCATTTGTAAACCCCTTGTAAATCATGTTCAAAATGGTCTTCTATAACTAAGATGATAGCAGAAATAAAGATCAATATATACTTCAGCCTTTGGGGTTCTATTTCCATTGAAGAGGGTGAATCCCGTGGTGTACACGTGAAACAAGAACTGCAGAAACAACAGATTACAAGAAAAAATGAATTTGGGATTGAGACAGGAAGAAAAGGATAAATGTAGACAGAAAGAGGCAATTACCTGATAAAAAAAGTTGTGCCTTGCTTGGTGCTGAAGAGATGAAGCAATAACCTAAGAGGGAAACCCCACAAGGAAAGCAGGTTTGGTGAGTCTAGGAGGTTTTGGTGAGCAGTAGTTGGCTAGAGCATGAAGACAATGGCTATGTTACTATCTGAGGCAGTGTCAAAGGCTTCAGTCAGTACCAAAAACCATTTGCCTTAATTCCAGGGTAACACACCTTTTTGCTACAGATATGAAATACTCACTTTTTCTATCCAATATAAACCACAGAAACACAATGATTAAAACACTATATGCAAGAATATTTGAGCAAGATGCTTTCTTACCCCAAATAACAAATACATTTGTACCTGCGAAGCTTAAATAGATGCAAATATAATAACTAAGGTAATAAAAATGGAATTAAGGAAGTGAATGAGAAAGGGTCAGATTGTTTTGACTAGTGGGGATATAAATACTAAATCTTACTGATCTAAGATCAAAGATTTTAGGAGTTACTTCCCAATTCCTTCTCAAATTCAGACTGTGAATAAGAACTTCAGTTTTAATAAAGCCTTTCTTGAAGCCTGACCTACCATGCTCAAAGTGTGGAGCACTCTCAAAGGGCAGAGTCAATCAAGATAAGGCAAATACTGAATAAGAGGAGGGCAGGGAATGTCCAAAGCCTTGAAGAGGACAGCAATTCATTTAATATTAGTGAATGTATTACCTTTATTATTAATACCAACACTGAATCTAACCACATCTATGAAAGAGCATTAAGCTGTAAATACCAAAAAGAAGTATTTCTGTTAATCTTACTACTGTTCTTAAGGAATTTAACAGCCATTGAGAGTTTCATTATACTTTCTAGCAGTGCCATGTAAATCCATGCTGTAATCTGTGTATGGAATGACATCCCAGTATGTATACTCATAGGCCAAACCCAAACATATCTGAACAACTAAACATGCATATAATTACAGCTACAACTATTCTATGATGATGAAACAAAATGGTGCAAGTTTTGAGCACTGCAATAGGAGTTTATTCCTACATCTGTAATTTCTTGACAACACCATTTCTTCCTTGCAAACGCACAATTTACATAAGAAAAATATCCATATTTTGGGTCTGAAACACAAAACACAAGGCTCCGACTCCTTCCTACTGCAGTTCAGTAGGAGGTTAAACAGACCAACATCAGGCCGTGCTCTCAATGCTGAGTGAATTTCAGCTTGCATCAGAAGCAACCTTCATTCAAGAACAACCTCTTTGCATGCTGCTGAAAGAAAGTATCTAACAGGTTTGGACTTCCAATGAGATTCCTTAAGGGCTTGATTTCTAGGTTACTCAGCACTTCCCATAAAACAGATGTTTTAAAAAGCTTGTGCTGAACATACAAGAAGCCTTCTATTCCCTCCCTATAAACCTTGGCTTTGGAAAAATATAAGCCATGCTGTACCACTAGCATCTTTCATGATTACTCACCAATGGAAGAGATATAGGCAGGAAGGCTAAAAAGAAAGAAAACTTTATTTCAGTAAAAATAACTGCTGTGTGTGTCTTGAGTTGAAAATTCCCCTAACTTCCCCCTTCTACTTTCAGCTCTAAGTAAAACACTGCCCACAAAAAAATCACACCATCACCACAGATGTCAATTCTAACCCTTGTCTCTCATTCCACATCCCAGAAATCAGAATACCTGGTCACAGCTTGTAGCCAAAGGGAGCCCTTGTGAGCTCCACTCAACAGTATAACTGAGTGTTGAACAGAAATCAACTCTCTGTTCAAAAAGAGATAGGTGGCAACAAAAGCTGCCACAGCTATGAGTGGTTATACAAGATAATGAGTAAATAGCCTCACTATGGTTATATCTGATTAGGAACCTGTGCTGTCTTGGCCTCACCCAAGCAGACTTTGTCTGTCACCACAGCAAGTAAATTCATACAATAGCCACATCCACCAAAGGAAAACTTAGTTTATGGTAGACTGCTTTATATGGGGAGGGATTTGGGATCTCATTATGCAGTGAGATCAGAGACTGGTCAGACTAATTCCATCTAGATGAGCAGATAAACTACAGGGAAAAAATTCCTCAAGGGGATTGTAGGAATAATAAATCTTCAACAGCTATGACAATGCAACTAACAGAAGAGTCTACTTGCTTTTGTATATGGAGAATACCACTGTAGTATCACAGCATCTATTCACTATGAGCTAGTCCCCTGTGATGATTCAGTCACATACACAAAGCTTCTCTTAAGGGAACTTACCTGGAGGTCTAAACAAAACAGGAATTATATCGTCTGTATCAGGATGCACACTGGACTTAAATAAGAAAAGGAATATTAGACCACTGTTGCCATATGTGAATGAGAAAGAAAAAAACCCCAATGTAAGTATTTTGTGAACTTACCAGGCTTAGCAGGAAGGCTTGTTTTGTCTAAACAATTTGAAAATGAGGTTAGTAACCAAGCTTTGGAAGAGACTGGGTAAAATCTTCTGTGCACATTTATTATACCCTCCTTTTTTTCCCCAATAACTCACTTTAATATAGTGCTATATATGTATACACCCCTGTAATTACTTTTGTCCCTAACAACATACTCTTCAACACACTCCTTGTTGAATATAACTTACATCCTATGTGTTGTGTGACAGCACCAAAGCACACACTATGGCAGAACAGAAAGTTAGTTTTAAACCAGAAAACAATAGTTTACATATGGCTAAAAGCCCAAACACTTATGTTAAGACTTTAGCTTTTCTGGAATCACAGAAGTTTCTATTTCTCCTTTCAGGCTTTGACACACAAGGTATAAATGCCACACTGAGTCAAAAGAAAAACTCCTCCTAATGAAGTAAGGGTTCAGCACTACTTCCCAGTAACTGAATAGATTTCCCACCCAAGTACTGCTACTGCTCATTTTGTGAGATGTGCAACTAAACCAACCTGCCCTCTGTATGGTGTTACAACATCTAAGATTTAAATGAGCTTATTAAGCTCTTTGCATATTTATCATCTACCTGTATCACCCCAAGTGAGGACAGACAAGCTTAGAGCAATGATTCCTACAGGGATCCGAGAGCATCTCTTAGCTATATGATATACAACCTAGCATTCTTCAGGATGATAATACTGTGATTTGGCATTAAAGTCAGTAGTAATCCAAAGGAATTCCTGCTAGATTGATAGATTTGAAAAACATCTGTATCAGTGAGTTTTTCTTGTGCTACCACTTGTATCAGAATCTCAGTATTCTGTCTGCTACATTTTATATTAGTATCAACTACTTCAGCCATGAAGAAAAGATACCTCTATTTCCTATGCACTGCACTCCAAAATACCTGAGCATTCTGTATGGGTTCATTTAGGGTCTTCCCAGTGCTTTGTATGGATAACCTGGTTCTTCTTATTTCGTCCTGTATTTGAGAAAAAACAAAACAAACAGATAAAATAACCTAGATTTCAATATTCTGGAGTGCAACAGATCCGTTACAAGACATTCTAACTGCGAACCTAGCGTGTCAAGCTAATAAAGCACCTGTCCCTCACCAGAGTAGTACAAGCAAGAACACACCTAGGCACACAACCAGCTCACAATCACAGAAACCTTTAGGTTATTCAGACTCCCTTGGTTCCTTTCTGTATCAATCCCTCAACCTGCTACACAAATGCACTGGAAATGGAAGCATATGAAAAACCTCACTGAAATCAAGAGTTAATCATCTTGTACTCAAAGTTACCCATGTGTGCTGGCAAACATAAAGATTTGCTGCCAAAGCAACCATCCAATATCACCACAGGCACTGATGGCTGTTTTAAAACTGAATTCCAAACCAGACTTTTAAAAGCGACCAGAAACAAGTCGCAACATCACAAGATGCTCCTGCATGTTCACAAACGTGTGATCAAGTTTTGGACCATACACTCTTCCTTTAAACTTGGCTTAAGCTTTTAATTATGGAAAACAGGTACACTTCAACTGTAAACTCATGTGGTTATCCACAGTCTACACAAAACTCTGCTCCTCTTGGGAGAATTGATGAGATGGTTTGACTTTTCCTCAACAGGCACATCTCTATTTGCAAGAGTGTATTTTAATTCCAGGAGGTGGGAACTAATCCCAGATCTCCAAATCCTGAATGTACTATGAAATTTTATTGTTGACATTTACATATATATACATATAATGTACATTTACTAAATAATGTGATTTGTACATGTAAATATATATAGGGCTATGCATTCATACCATATATAACTATAGAGATAGATGAATAGATAGACACAATACACTAACTCTGCAAGTGACAAGGAAATACCCCATGTGCACACATTTTGACAGTGTTCTACGGCTTTAATGGAGTTTTCCCTTAAATAAGAATAATAAAAAAATCAATCTACATAAAAAGGACATGGAACTGTTGGAACAAGTCCAGAGGAGGCCATGAGGATGATCAGGGGACTGGAGCACCTCCCGTATGAAGACAGGTTGAGGAAGTTGGGGCTGTTCAGCCTGGAGAAGAGAAGGCTGCGTGGAGACCTCATAGCAGCCTTCCAGTGTCTGAAGGGGGCCTATAGGGGTGCTGGGGAGGGACTCTTCATTAGGGACTGTAGTGACAGGACAAGGGGTAACGGGTTAAAACTTAAACAGGGGAAGTTTAGATTGGATATAAGGAGGAAATTCTTTAAGGGTGGTGAGGCACTGGAATGGGTTGCCCAGGGAAGCTGTGAATGCTCCATCCCTGGCAGTGTTCAAGGCCAGGTTGAACAGAGCCTTGGGTGACATGGTTTAGTGTGAAGTGTCCCTGGCCATGGCAGGGGGGTTGGAACTGAATGATCTTAAGGTCCTTTCCAACCCAAACTATTCTGTGATTCTATGATTCTATACTGACTAACCAGCCAACTCTCATACAATGTGCTTTTTCCTCTGTCACCCCTGACAAAACTATACAGAAGTGGATGGATAGAAACACACATCTTCCCCAGAATTCCCTTGTCAGAACAGTTCCTGAAATTTGGAAGCTACACATTATGGCCACCAATGTATCACACTTTCAAAAATTAGTGTTAAAATTGCAATAATCATTCTCTGGTATAAAAAGGGCCTAGTCAGCACTTGCGCTCCCTCTCAGGGGATTCATTTCAGTACAGCCACTTGGAAGAGAATCAAAGATCTTCATGAGCTTCAGACTAAGCCACACCACGAGGATGGCTGTGTGGATTAGGCAGCAGAGATTTGGGGTGCCTGGGGTGCAGCTCAGCAAACCTGTCCTCTCCAAACCTGTGACAGCTCCACATCACACTCCTCCTGCAACTGTCTGTATTCAGAAAGAGCATGTCCAGCTGCTTGTTCCACAGCTCTTGTCTTTGGGGGTGTCCTGGTTCTTAATTGGTTCTTAATTCTAATTCAAGTGCTGGCACAGCAGCCATGGTCTAAGCAGGACTGCTGAAGCGGTGTGTCTAGAAATGCCCTTTGTTTTATTTACTTATACAGAGAAATGCACACAGCTGTAATTCTATTTACTAACATAAAGACACTGACTGGTTTGTGTTGGAAGGGACCTTAAAGCTCATCCAGTTCCAACCCCTGCCACAGGCAGGGACCCCTTCCACTGGAGCAGCTTGCTCCAAGCCCCTGTGTCCAACCTGGCCTTGAACACTGCCAGGGATGGGGCAGACACAGCTTCTCTGGGCACCCTGTGCCAGCGCCTCAGCACCCTCACAGGGAAGAGCTTCTGCCTAAGAGCTCATCTCAGTCTCCCCTCTGGCAGGTTAAAGCCATTCCCCTTGGCCTGTCTCTACAGGCCCTTGTCCCAAGCCCCTCTCCAGCTTTCCTGCAGCCCCTTTAGGCACTGGAGCTGCTCTCAGGTCTCCCCTTCAGGAGCCTTCTCTTCTCCAGGCACAGGTACAAGTACCACTAACACAGCTTTTACTTTTGCCTTCACAAGCGGAAACCCACATGCATGGATCTGACTTTGGCTACATGCTCACCCAGCTAAATCTACTCACGGCGCCTGCAGGACCTGGCACAGACTTGGGTACCGTAAGTTAAAACACAGATTATATCTATTATATCTATATCTATGCATTTCCTCTTTCCTCAGAGGCCTTGCAACTACTCACGGAGGACTTGAACAGCAGCAGGGGATCCAACGCGTCCGTCCATAGCAGAAGCCTCTGTAAAAAAGACTGTGGGACACACGTTGCGGTCAGACCGGGGTTTGTCCCCGGGCCGTCCCTCCCGGGCCGGGCCGCCCCGGCTGCCCCCGCCGCCGCCGACCTGCCCCTCCGCCCGCCAGAACCGCAGGTTGGCGTCCATGGAGCCGCGGCACCGGAACGGCGCTGCCGGGGAACGGTCCGCCCGCCGCACGCTCCGCCCGGGCACGGAGCCGCAGCGCTGCGGTCCTCCCGCCGCGGGTAGACCTGGTGTCCGGGCCGCCTTCCCGCCCTGAGGCCGGGCCTGAGGTGTGAGGCGGATCCCGGCTGGGGCCGTGGCCTTGCAGCCCCGGGGAGCGGGATCGCGGTTGGGAAAGGTCCGATCGGCTTTTCCCCTTCCAGCAGTGTCCGCCTGCGCCAGCCGGGACGGCAGAGAAACCCCCGCCGCGTTCGCAGTGACCGCGGTAAGAGACAGGCACAGCCAGGTACAAGCGCAGTGTGGCATTGACCTGCGGTTGTAGCTTGTTTCACAGGCGCTAACAGCTGCCCCAGCACCGCTAGGATGTAGTTTTGCATTGGTGAGCTGTGCAGGGGTTAACTTCATGTGTTCTAGGTCCAGTTCAGGTTTACTGGGAGAAGGGCACAGCCAGCAGTGGGTTTGAACAAAACGGAGCTAAAATACCAGGACTGAAAAGATGCAAGTACTGAAACACACAGCGTCACTGGGCACCACGTCAGGTGTTTTTATATCCTTGAACTTACATTGCAGTGTTGGTACCTGTTACAAAGCTTACTTTATAACACAAGCTTATGCTTCTGTTTTACCTAAGTCCTTTCCTCTGATCATAAGGGCAAATGGAAAACACAAACCCATTCAGTGTTGTGTTGATTTCATAGAATCCCAGACTGTTTCAGGTTGGAAGTGACCTTAAAGCCCATCCAATTCCAACCCCCTGCCACGGGCAGGGACACCTTCCACTAGAGCAGCTTGCTCCAAGCCCCTGTGTCCAACCTGGCCTTGAACACTGCCAGGGATGGGGCAGCCACAGCTTCTCTGGGCACCCTGTGCCAGCACCTCAGCACCCTCCCAGGGAAGAGCTTCTGCGTAAGAGCTCATCTCAGTCTCCCCTCTGGCAGGTTAAAGCCATTCCCCCTGGCCTGTCCCTACAGGCCCTTGTCCCAAGCCCCTCTCCAGCTTTCCTGCAGCCCCTTTAGGCACTGGAGCTGCTCTCAGGTCTCCCCTTCAGGAGCCTTCTCTTCTCCAGGCTGACCCAGCCCAGCTCTCTCAGCCTGGCTCCAGAGCAGAGCTGCTCCAGCCCTCGCAGCATCTCCATGGCCTCCTCTGGCCTCACTCCAAAAGCTCCACGTCCCTCTTGTGCTGTTGCCCCAGAGCTGGATCAGGACAGCAGGGGGTTACCCCCTAGAGCACAGCAGAGGGGCAGGATCCCCTCCCTCAACTGCTGCTCATGCTCCTTTTGATGCATCCCTCCAGCAGGACACCTGCTACTCCCTAAGGGTACACACACAAAGGCAGCTGCAGTTGTTTACCACTTGCTGCAAAGGTGCAGAAGATCCAAGCTCTTCAAAACACAAATAGGAATCTAGGAAAAAAGTGAAAAAAAAGCAAAGCAACACACCCGCTGTTTGTCAACAATAAGATTTATTATTATTTCTAGAGATGTACTGCTTTCAATTTTATTGCTTACAACAGACTCAAGCAAGCAATGCTTTAAATGACAGACTTCTTGTTAAGCTCCAGTAAGTACACTATTGGGGTTCAAGTTTTTACCATCTCCCACGCAGTATCAGAGTTCTTCATGCTTGTTAATCCTCCTCTGTAGCTGCCCTGCATCTTTGACTACATGCAGGAGTAAAATGGCATTTATTTACATTCATTTCAAGTTATAGTTCATTTACACAGTTTTGTTACATTCATCTCTTCCCCTGCAAAATTCATTAAACATATACCACGTACCAGTATTTTATTTTCTGTATTGTCCCCATTGTTTTAAACTCTTGTTACAGAATTTAGCTTTTCCTGTTGTAAAGGAAAACATGGGACACTTACTGGTCCAAAACCAGGTAAAGAAAGAGGGAAAACCCAGTGGAAGACAACTGTACGTTGTGTACTTGTATTCAGGACAAAGACCATGTCACAGAAACCCATGAAACTGAAGCTGCAAAAAGGGAAAAGGGGGAAAGCCTCAGTTTTGACCCTTCTTTTTAAAGCAAGACAAGGAAGCCAGGAACTATTTCAGCATTTAATTTCTTCTTCAACATGAGAAAATGACAACTTTGATTTTATTATTATCAATGATAATCACAGCTGCTTTCCTAATGGCTTCTGTTTATGGTAACCAAGAGTTTTGTCCACATATCTGGGTATTTATTTATGCACTTTCTCAAAATATTCTTTGGAAGCTTCTGGGGTTGGTTTGATCTGTCAAGAAAAGAAAGTTTAGTTATTACACACTATAAATAAGGGAATTTACCAGATTTGACATTTTATCCAAGAAAGTCCATGCATAGTTAATAAAGATGTTATTTCCATTTCTGCACTTGAAAGATGGAAGTCCAAATGATGTACAAGCTCCTACTTGCAAGTTTTAAGTATATAACACATTTTTCTGCCAAATATGAAGCAGGGCATTAAATAAGTAAAAAACCTGAACACAACTGGTGGTAACTCCAAGTCAAATTTAGAGTTTTAAATGTAATTTGTGTCTTGTAAAAGAAGAATCGGTGACTTTCTTCACAGAAGTCACACATTTTGTATCATACAAACAGACTGAACTGGGACAACTGATAACAGCCTCAGATTTAGACAACAGGCACAGCCTGAGTCCAGCACCTCACGTTACAGTGGTTCTCAGCCCTTCAGACATGCCAAAATAAACCAGTGGCTATATTTAGACAAGTGGTATTTAGCAGACACTTACTGTAGGGGAGTCTGGAGTCCAGTTTGCTGGGCAAACCTCTCCATGTGTTTCCACAAACTGGAATGCTTTCACCAAGCGGAGAGTCTCTTCCACACTACGGCCAACGGGGAGATCGTTGATACTCAGATGCTTGACAATCCCATTTGGATCAATGATGAAAAGACCTCTGTAATTCAGCAAGGAGTTAGGGAATGTGAATCACATTCCAAAGACCAAACAAGAAACCAGACTATTTCAGCAGGGTAATCATTCTTATGTGCATGTATCAGAGGTAGGAGTAGCAATACCAAGTCTGACTTAGTGTTTGTTAGTGATCAAAAGGCAAGAACCAGTCAACTGGGATGGTATGGTGAGATTACATATGAGAAAGTATGCATAAAGACTATTAAATCCAGACAGATGCATAACAGAGGTGGAACTTTTCATTCCACCTATATGTCAAAGTTGATAGCTGACATCCTGACATCCTTCCCATGTCTTTTTGGTATGAGAATCTGAAAGTACTGAGTGAAGAGCTGCTTACACATGAAGTGACTACATTAAATCCTACTGCATATAAATGTTTGTGAAAACCAAAACCCAGTCTTACCATACTAATTAAGTTAATTTGTCAACAAACAAGTATCAGAAGTTCCTCATCCACAGAGATCAGGAACTGAAGGTCTCCAGAAGACTCCCACCCAATTCATTGTTTCTCAGGGACCACTATTTGCTTTTAATAGTACAGCCATGGTGGAATTAAAATAAAATTGGCATTTTCTCCTCTACATAATCATGGGATTGACTGTAGGGGCCTCTGGGACACCTGCTTTAGAACTTACACAGAAGTTAAGGCAATTTCTTCTCCCTTCAGAAGAAACCAAGAACAAGGAAGAAGGGAAAGACCTAAACTGTGAAAACATGTATTAAAATCATAAATGCTCTTCTGTGCTACTCGTGTTTTCCTCAGTGACATGGAGTTCTCCCCGTCACTCACAGCAGAGCAGCTGCTTTCCCCTACAAGCATTCTGAGAGGCCTGGAACCATCCTCAACTCAATGGCCATAACAGCCATGTGCCCTTTGCCTGGGGTGGGATCCAGCAGAAGTTCTGCTGGAAAAGTAACATCCCACAGTCCTTGTGATGGACTGCTTGATCCTCGTGCAGTTTCCCTGCAGGAGGAGACATTATGGCTGATGGTGGTTGAGGCTGGGTGGAGTTATAAGCAGTCACACCTTACCTCAGTGCTATGCCAGGTGCTTCCAGCAGCACACCATAATCCCGGGAGATTTGTTTTGAGAGGTCTGACAGAACTGGAATATTCATTTTGCCCAAACCACCACTCTAGAGAACAGAAGAAGATTTCATTTGGTTGTAAAACACTTCTTAGGATTATCCTTCACCAGTTGCTAGATTCAGTGCTCTTGAGGATATACAACAAAATCCATCTGTGACATTAGCTCCATGGAAGGAAACACAAGAGGGGGTGGGGTTGTCGGCTGGTTGGTTTTGACTTGTTTTGTTGTTTTTAAGTAGACAGGAATATTTGGTTTCTTTGGAACATGAAAACTTCTTTTGCACTGAGCATTTTGGAACTGCTCATTTCAGTGACTTCCTATGTCAAGTCCAATTTCCAGAAGGATTTCCCTTGTGCCCTACTTAGGAGCTTTGAATACAAACATGTCTACTGCATATTGAAGTGCTCAAAGCTAGACAAGATGAGCATGGCGGTGAGAAGGGAAAACAAATCTGCATCCTATGAACAGAGAAAGCTCAAAGCTTCCAACAGCCACATTAGGGATGTCAGAGTTCTGCTGCTCTCTATTCAGCGCACATACTATTTTTACCCACCCCAAATCAATTTAAGTACTCTTTGGAGAGTCTACCAAGACTATTTTCAGTTTTGCAACTGGAACTGCAAGAGAGATAAGCTCTGTATCCTTGAAACAAGCCAGGAATTTGTTTGCTTTTCTACTCCTGACATCATCAGTGAATCATTGTGTAACCGCAGTCACTCAGACCCTCATCCTGCAAAGCCTTGTCTGCAACAGAGTTCTCATATACAGAGCTTTGCACACAGGTATCTGCTGAAGAAACCAAGGCCTTGGCTTCTCCGGGTGTCAGTTTCCTGCCTGTGCCATCACGGAATTCTTTCCGCTCTTTGCAGGGTGTTTTGCATGGAGCAGTGCCTGACTGAACAGCTTTTGCATGAGACAGTGAAGTCAGCCCATGGTCACATTTTAGAGCTTTGAACAAAGCATGCAGCAAATCGAATGCTCTTGCTACCAGATTAAATACAGCAAACTCTCCTCACTCCCCTGGTGAGGCAACAGCAGAGGTGTGCACCTGAAGGCAGCCCAGTCTGCAAGCAGTACGACGGACCACTGTCCACACAGGCAACACCACAGGCACTTCCCGTGATACTGCTGATTTTCCACAGCTGACCAAATTTCTGAGATGCTCTATGTGACCAAAGCCACACATTTTTATGTAAGTCTGAAATAGGCTCCTCTCCAGTAAAAGGCCATCTCTTGTCACCTTCCTTCCCCAAAGAAAGCTGAGGGCCTCAGTGGAACCACTTCAGCAAGTGAGTTAATAATATAAGGCTAAGAGAGCTGGGCTGGTTCAGCCTGAAGAAGAGAGGACTTCTTAGGGGGAGACCTCACACCAGCTTCCAGTGCCTAAAGGGGCTCCAGGAAACTTGGAGAGGGGCTTGGGACAAGGGCCTGTAGGGACAGGCCAAGGGGAATGACTTTAACCTGCCAGAGGGGAGACTGAGCTGAGCTCTGAGGCAGAAGCTCTTCCCTGTGAGGGTGCTGAGGCACTGGCACAGGGTGCCCAGAGAAGCTGTGGCTGCCCCATCCCTGGCAGTGTTCAAGGCCAGGTTGGACACAGGGGCTTGGAGCAAGCTGCTCTAGTGGGAGGTGTCCCTGCCCGTGGCAGGGGGGTTAGAACCAGATAATCTTTAAGATCCATTCCAATCCAAACCACACTAGGATTCTATGACAAGTGCTCCAATAAACTGGTTGTTCTGCTTCCAGTCTGAAGCCACCATTGTTAAGCATTGGTTAATAATGACTAACAGCTCTTTTACTACATTGTACTACATTTACTGCAGACTAACACTACAGAAAGTTCACTTCCTGCAATGGCACATACAGACCATCAGCTGGAACAAGCAGCTTGGGACAGTGCCATGTATATTATTTTGTCTTCCGAAATAAAACATAGAAGGATATGGTGCAACCTACAAAACTATCAAGAGAGCAAACCAAAGATACCTTCCCTCCCCAAAATATAAAGGAAAAGAGCAAGAAAACAAACGTTGAGGATAGAATTATCTCATCAAATGTAGAAGTTAACCACATATCACTTTAAGCAGTGTATTGAAATCGGTGTTAGCACAGTATTTTAGTCCACTCTTATTCTCAGGAGCTCTTGTGAAAAGACAACAAAGCAACAGAGGAAGACCCAAGCGGCTGCTCATTTCATACCTTTCGTGGCGTATTTATCCAGGCCAGATGACAAAAATGGGAATCCACAGACACTGCCACCACTTCGCAGTTCACATCACGAAACTCCTTTGCTTTGTCGCTGAAAGCCACAATTTCTGTGGGGCAGACAAAGGTGCTGGGTGGGAAGAGAGAACAAGCTGTAATGATTCTGCAGTCTTCAGTGTTTTAGTAAAGGACCCTCAGGTCTGTTTCTAGTAGGCACTAATGCAGCAGAGCATTTCCTTCAGCATGGTAATTTTAACCGTGTTTCCTCTTCAGGATTCATTTCAGTCTCAAAGCCGCAGCCACAGAGCTCCCACACCATTTTTCAGCTCTCGGTTCTAGACAGGCTTTTTGCAGAGATAGAGGAACTGTTTTTTACTAGATACCCTCTAGACAGAGAGGTTTTGGGAACTATAGCAGAAAGCACTGCAGGTTAAATCCTCCTCCATGTGCCCATGTACATTAGGATACAACTCAAGTCCTGTGGACACGCTCAACCCCATCTGTTCACCTTTTGCTCTGGAGCTGTCTAGCTGCAGTTCTGCCAGCCCCACTGCTTAAAAATCGTATCGGAGAATCCCAGTGTGGTTTGTGTTGGAAGGGGCCTTAAAGCTCACCCAGTCCCAACCCCCTGCCACGGGCAGGGACACCTTCCACTACAGCACATTGCTCCCAGCCCCTGTGTCCAACCTGGCCTTGAACACTGCCAGGGATGGGGCAGCCACATTATTATGTATTTCTTATTAGGAAATAAACCATTTATTTGGTACATTTCAATGAAGGCAACCCTGGGATGCAGGGCAATGCCCTAAGGGAAGCCACACTTGTAAGGCCATATCCACCTTCCAAAGCAGTCTTGGCAGCGGTAGGATGCTCTACACCCACCCCATCCATTGCTTTAACACACAGTGGCTGTGTGCCCCCACATCTTATCACTCACACTGTAGAAACACGCGTATCTGCCCTGCAAGATTCACCCAACCACCACCAAACCAGCCACTTCACAGCATCGCTACACAGCGCTTCTCATGACCTTCAGCGGGGCAGCAGGCCCGTGTGGAAGGAATAAAACCCGCACTCACAAGTCCAGCGGGTAGAAGAAGAGAACCAGGTATTTCCCTTTGAAATCATCCAGGCTCAGCTCCTTGAACTCTCCGTTAACAACCGCCGTTCCCTTGAAGAACGGGGCATGCTGTGTAACCGCTGGAGCGAACCGAGACGAGCCTGCGGGCGAGAAAACACCGATGCGGGCCAGGGAAAGGGACCAGGGCCAAGGCCGAGCCGGGGCTCCCCCTCCGGCCACCGCCGCAAGAGCGGCCGGGCCCGCTCCCGCCGCCGCGGCCCAAGGCGAGCCCCGCGGCGTCCCCGCCGCCCTCCCCGCACTTACCGAGGCTGAAGTGGCGGCGGACGCAGGGCAGGGGCCGCGCCGTCAGCGTCCTCCCGGCGGCGGGGACCTGCGGGGGGGACAGGGAGGGTCAGAGCCGGCGGGGCTGGGGCGGCCGCGGAGGGGCGGCCGGGCACTCACCGCGGTCCGCAGCAGCCTCCCCAGCGCGGCGGCCATGTTGAGCGAGGCGGCGGCGGGAGGAGCGCGGCCTGCGGGCGCGGGAAGCGGCGGGGCGGGGCGGAGAGGCCGCGGGGTACGAGAGGAGCCTGCCCCGGCTGAGCCTGTCGGCCGTAGGGACGGTGGGAGCCTGTCCTAGCGCCCAGTGCGGGTGAGGTGGGAGCTGCCGTTGGTGGGTGCTGGTACAGACCGGAACGGGGCGAGCAGCGTGGTGCGGACTGTTCAAACGGCGTTGGTAAAGTGATCCCAGACTGGTTTGTGTTGGAAGGGACCTTAAGGCTCATTCAATGCCAACCCCTGCCACAGGCAGGGACACCTTCCACTAGAGCAGCTTGCTCCAAGCCCCTGTGTCCAACCTGGCCTTGAACACTGCCAGGGATGGGGCAGCCACAGCTTCTCTGGGCACGCTGTGCCAGCGCCTCAGCACCCTCACAGGGAAGAGCTTCTGCCTAAGAGCTCATCTCAGTCTCCCCTCTGGCAGGTTAAAGCCATTCCCCTTGGCCTGTCCCTACATCCCTTGTCCCAAGCCCCTCTCCAGGTTTCCTGCAGCCCCTTTATGCACTGGAGCTGCTCTCAGGTCTCCCCTTCAGGAGCCTTCTCTTCTCCAGGCTGCCCCAGCCCAGCTCTCTCAGCCTGGCTCCAGAGCAGAGCTGCTCCAGCCCTCGCAGCATCCCTCTGGACTCCCTCCAACAACTCCCCGTCCCTCTTGTGCTGTTGCTCCAGAGCTGGATCAGGACTGCAGGGGGTTACTCCCCAGAGAGCAGCAGATTGAGGGAATCCCCTCCCTTGACCCAGTACTCACTCTGTAGGGGTGCAGCTGGCTCTGACTTTATTGAACTCGGAGTTTAGCTGTTTAATAGTAATTAAGCAATTGCATTGGGATAGCTGTGTGACTGCTCTGCTCCTCAGCTGTGAGCTGATGCAAACCAAAGTCATTGCCTAATTCTCCACGCAGGTACTCACTGCTGCTAGTCAGCAGTGCTGTGTTAAGCTGAATGCTTATCCGGCTTCCCTCTGCTCCGCAGGTTTGTCCCAGGATTCCTGGCTGAGCGAACCATCCCAACTCAAGCTAAAGGAGATGCTTGAACAGAGTCAGCCGGGCAGTACACGGTTTTCTAAAGCCGTTTTTATAGAACACCTGATGGTGGCAGCAACAGAGATCGCTAAGAAGTGCCGGCTGCCTGCCCTGTTGTAGCCACATGCTTTGGAGCAGCACAAGCGGCGTGCACAATCCAGAGTACTGAGACTCACTTTCTGAACGTCCATTTGTATTTCCTTAGCTTCTTTCTGTGTGTTTTTTTTCTTTTAACTAGTCAAATAGTGTTGAACCCAATTTCACTTCTGGGTCTGGTATTTTCTGGTGTAATATTCACATTTATGAATGTCCACAGCCTTTTACAAAGGGGAGATCCCACCTTGTGAGCTAGAGAGAAGTCTGGCTCCACTGGCAGGATAAACTCAGCTCCTGGGGCCAAAGCCAAAGGCAGCCAGAATGATGTCAGCTACATCCCAGGCCCTTGGGATGAGCCCAGTGGATGCTGAATCTATATTTTGGAATAAATGTGCTAATATCTTCCTGGCGCTGATGCTGCTGGTGTGGTCTGGTCACCTCTGAGCCTTCAAAAGAGGGAGGTTGTGCACAACCTGCCTGTTAGGTTTGGTCAGTAGCCAGTATTAACCCTCTCCCGTGGCCAGGAGCTGTTTGTGGCAGTGTTGTCCAAAAGCACGCTGAGACTTTTCTAAACATATAACATCATCACCAGTTTCAGTCACTGGTACCTTTCTGTGGCACTCAATTTATTAATCCAGATGTAGCCAATGACAGCTGGAAATGTGGCTCTGATGATCTCAAAACCTCTAGTTCCCAATAGAGCAGCCAGAACGACGTTATCTACTCATACATGCACAAAGATACTGCGTGGCTGGCTGGGCGTGTGATGAAGATGGAGGTGCCCAAAAGGAGATGATGAAAATGGAGTTGTTCTGCATAAGGGTGCAGAGATGAACTGTTCCTATAGCCATAGTGACATGAGGGGGAAGAAAATGTGGACGCTAAAGTATATGGATACTGCAGAATGGAGTCCATCCACATAGTAGTCTAGCTGCTTCCTGCATCCACTAATGCATAGAAACACAGAATAGTTAGGGTTGGAAAGGACGTTAAGATCACCCAGTTCCAACCCCCCTGCCATGGGCAGGGATGCCTCACACTAGACCATGTTGCCCAAGGCTCTGTCCAGCCTGGCCTTGAACACTGCCAGGGATGAAGCATTTACGACTTCAGTCATGCCAATTCTGCATTGCTGTTCAGGCAATCCACCCAGGTAATGGTTGCTGTTTCTTTGCTGCTCTCCACAGACACTCTGCAGGTGTCCGTGGCTCAGCTTTGCTGCTCACTGCTCTACTGGCAGCCCTCAGCAATGGCACAAAACCATCCCAAAGCCTCTACTGTGGACGTGTCTTTCAACAACCGCTCCTTCTCTGTCCATCTCCAGGGCTGCAGGCCACAGAACAGTTCATCCACACTGTATCTGACATGTTTTCTAACAGAGAAATAGTTTAGTCAGTTCCACTTTCAGGCTTTGAGGGTTTTTTAAGCAAGAATGCCCCTAACTTTTAGGCAACAGACATGCAAATAAGCTGAGTGGCTCAGTCATCCCCTGGCTCAGCAGTGACCTTCCCAGCAGAGTCCCCATCCAGCTGGCACTTCCAAGCAGCCCTGCTTCATAGCACGAGTCTAAACTGAACTTGTCTCTTACACACCTTCAGGTTTCTCTTAACAAAGGGCTAATGAGGACCAAGGGGTTCATAAGGTTCCTTAACTCAGAACTTGCTGGTTCACTGACCCAGCACTATGATTCTATGACTGTGGTCACATCTGCCTGACTGGCACATCTCCCCATGGAGAGACGTGCTCCCTGGGCAGCAAACAGTGTGTGAGGGTTCCTTTCCCTCAGCTGTGGGAGCTGTATTGTGGCAGCAAGAAAAGGGCTATTGCTCGGATTTCCTGAGGATGGTTGTCTCACCCACAAATGGTTATTCACAACTTGTAAGCTGATGTATTCTGAACCAATGTCCTTCCCCCCTCCCCGGAAAGTTGTATTTCTTTAAAACTCTTTTGTTTAAACACTTGGCTTGCAGGTGGGGAACTATTGCTCATGCTTTGTTATGAAGGCAGTGTAATTCAACTTCTCAGGCTTCTGGGCAAGAGTATGAAATACTGCCATTTAACAAGGGGGTGATTTCCCATTTTCCTATATACTGGGCATCCCTACAATTTGAAGATGAACTTTGTCACTGCCAAAGCTCACCTGGCAAAAGAGTTGTTTCTTTGAAACAGCTCTGGCACGGGCTCGAGCAGCTGCTAAACCCTGTTCTTGCCATCTGAAGTTCAAAATAGATCTATCGAGCAATACCATATGTGCATCCTGTTCCAGATCTTGTTGGTTGTCTGCTTTGCTCTATTCCCACAGGCTTTTGCCTGGCTGGACAGGCCCCAGTTTCATATCTCATCTTGCAGTGAGGGAGCATTGGTTCATACTGGTGCAGCATGAGCTCAGGACTGCATGGACATGTTTGCATGTGAGGGATTAGAGTATTTAAGCCTGATTCAAAGTGAGACATCTGAAGTTGGTGAAAGGCTCTCCAGGGATTTCAGCAGGCTTCAGGGGGAAGTTTGTATTGTTACACGGTGCAAAGCAGCAGATGAGGCACTTGAATGGATAGCAGGAGATGTAAAATTTATGTTTGGTTAGGATACTTATCTGCCTGCTCTCCCTTTATGCCTCTTTTCCCTATCTGGGAATAATTATGTATGTCTTTCTGGTGAAAAACTTTGAGATCTACTGATAAAAAGTGCAACATAATCCTCTTGTTGTTACATGAGAGTTGATTTTAAAGAGCTCTTTCAATCACATCATTAACACCACCAAATGTTAATGAAAGAGTAGCCTCTTCTCTCTAAACTTGATGGAGGGGGTGAGCAAATCCCAAATCAGATCTGCTCCAGTGGGTCATTGAATGGCAGATTCGGTGCAGAGTATGGGCTGTGTACACCTGTTTGTTTGAAAACTTGAATCTCCTTCTCTTCTAGAAGGTTATTTTATTCCATGTGCTCAAGTGCTGTAACACTCCTTTGTCCTCTGCCTTGAGGAAATGGATAACTGAAAAAAAGGTTTGGAAATGGGAAGAAGCAAAGGACATTAACTTTTTTACCTAAACCAAAGCAAATCAACCTGTCCCTGCCCATGGCAGGGGTTGGAAGTAGGCGTCCTTAAGGTCTGTTCCAACCCAAAACCATTCTAGGATTCTACTTGAGACAACGTGATGCATCTCCCCATGGCTGTTGGTAGATGGCAGCCTCTGTCCTTACACAGAGGCGCTCTGTTATAGGTTACAGTGCCTGCAAACGCTTTCTCGTCGACCTGCGCGCTCCCACCTGCTGATGCCGCATCTCAGAAGGAGCCAAAAGAATTTCCCTGTTTGTAGAATTAAGTTTCAGAAGCAATTCCAAACACAACCCAGCTTAGAGCTAATCATGAACAGGCTTCACTGCATTAATGGTGTACTATTTAGGAGATAGCTGGTGTTTAGGGTATGTTTGCCATCGATAAGTGTAGGCAAAAGCCTTTTTGACCTGTGGCTTGCTGGGGGTCTGTGTTATCCTGCCGTTCCCAGCAGGCTGCCCAGGCAGTTCCTCCCTGGTGCAGGATAACGCTGGTGTGCTGCTGCCGTGCTTCTGGCTGAGCTGCAGAGCCCACCCTGCCATGACTCATCCTCCAGCCGCTCACACCGTCACACTGCCGTGCTGCCTCCTCTTCTCATTACACCGATGCGTTTGGGTCTCACACCGTGCTGCTGTCTCATCTACAAACCTCTTCTCCCATGAAGGAAAGATGGCTGCCAGCCCTGCTCTGTCCTCATCTTCAGCACCCAAAAAGGGCTTTTTTTCCTAGGCCTTCCCCAGTGACTTCAGATGAAGATGTGCTATTTAAAACCAGAGCAACAAAACACATTAAGCACCTTAGAAAGCACCTTTTTTACAGAGTTTAACTGGGGTTTGGTAGCCTCTCCTTTTTCTCTCCTTCCAAAATGAAAGATTCAGACTCAATTTTCCCTTTTCTCCCAGCAAACACTGAATCAGGATCCAGCAAAACCGACATGTATTCATTCCCTGCCACCCTGTCCATGCTTGAGTATTCCAGCACCAGCCTTTACAACAGCAGAATAAGATAAGAGTAGAATAAGATAAGCAGTGGAACAGACTCATAGGTCTCTTGTTTCTTTCTCCCTCACTCACAGAGAACCTGAGTACTCCATTAAATCAAGTGTGGACATACTTTAAAGCACAAAGGCTGCGTTGTCACAAGAGAAAAATGGATACAAATAAAGTAATTCTTCCTCATATTTTCTACTTTTGTTGTTTTTGTGAGCCAGGTGTTCCATTTGGCACAGAGATGAAGATACTGACATGAGGTAACATTCCAAATGCTGCCATGGGTTTCATAGAGAGCAGTTGATAGACTTCAAGGCAAGTAGGTCTGTGCAGTGGCACTTGCTCTGGCTACCTGTGGGGCCATGAAAGGGGTCATCCATCTGCATGAAGCAGACCCTGGTCTATATTTAGGCTTAAAAAACTATAGTAGAAGAGAGAGATGTGTTGAGGACTGATTGCCTGATTCTGGTTTTCAGAGCAGGGTGTTGTGCTAATGAACCACATTGACTCAGATTTATTGGAAAGAAGTTTTATTTTGTTAAAGAATCATTAAGAAAACCCACTCCGTTGTTCTCACCAATAAATGTGAGGTCAGAATTGATGCTCTCCATGTAGATGTGTAACTAAAACAAACGCCTTATTGCAGAATCTCAGCAGTCCAGTGGCAGAGCTGAGCTTTCCACCCACTGCGTGCAGCCACATTTAAGTTATGCAACTGATCCTACTCCGCTGTGATGCAAAGTCATCCAGCTTAGTTGAAATAACTGCTCTGGCAGCAACACAACACTGTTCAGTTGCTGCCCCTGTGCAACTGGGTCTTTGGTTGTCAGGACTGTGAAGTGCTTCAGAGCTGCGCTGTTCATGAACATTAGGTAGAACCAAGGGACTTAGAAACGCCACATGGCTCTGTTGTAACTCTTTTGGTAAATCTATTTACCCTTTCAGGAGTTTAATAAATGTTCAGAAAGTGTACAGGACAACACAGCAGGTGGTTGTGTACGTAGAGACACATATGAGATAAAAGAGGCGCAGTGCAGTTGCTGGGTGCACATGCTGATTTCCAAGTGCTCTGAATCTCCCCAGAGGGGAGAATCCCCTCCCTTGATTGCTGCTCATGCTCTGGCGATGCAGCCCAGCACATGGGGGGGTTCTGGGCTCCCTGAAGCTGGGTCATGGGGAGCTTCTCATTACCCAACACCCTCAAGTCCTACTCCTCCCTTCCAGCCTGAGCAGAATTTGCTCTGTTTACAAGCAAGCATCAGTCCTGGCACGGAAGCGGTCAGACAACAAGCAGGGCAGACACTCCTTGGGCACCTCATCTCTATGCAAAGGCTCTGGTTTCCAGGAAGCAATTTTTCCCTGAAGAATTAATCAGAGAAACATCTTCCTGTACTTACAGGCACAACTGCTGCTGTTGGGCTTGGTGCTTACAAAGAAAGCAACCACAACATGGCACTGCTCTGAAAGTCCTCTGGAGCGATAGGAGAGAGGATATAGAAGACTGTACATAGCCATGCCACCTACTCTGCACAGTAACATGCTAAGTTCTATCCTCTGACACTGAATGGGTACAAAAGGCATTTGTTACAGCCATTGTGTCCTAATGCCCAAAGTATTATTCACTAAATGCATCTCTCTTTTATTTCCTGAGCTCAGAAAATGTGTTCTGGGCAGCCTGTGAGTTCTGCTGTTCGTTTCTGCCTGGCTGCAGGAAGAAATACGATCGGTACAATAAAAAGAAGAAGAAAAAAAGGAAAAGCAGTGTCTGTGCCCCACTTACAAGAAGGTGCATGTTTTAATTTGGTTTGCTTCATGTGGTTTTAATCAATGCACGTACAGATGGGGGAAGAGTGTTAGTGAGAGTAATGGGTTGGTTTTATTCCTCTTCCTTTGCTTGACCTGCTGAATCGATCTACCCTGTTGCCAGGAAAGTCAGGATCATGCTGACACCAGCATCTGTCTTATATAGACAGAGGAGAATTTATGTTGTAATTTAGTGCTTAAAATTCACAAACTTTCCACAAGTGGCTGATGTCTCACGCAACTGCTCACCGGGATTAAAGAATACAGTGTGGCAGAAATGATGGGAATCCCTCGGGTATCCTCGGGCATCCTACAGGCACTTTTAAGACCTTCAGGAAAAGGGCATGGGATGAAGCATGTTCATGATGAAGACGAGGTCGCGGGCTCCTTCTCTCGTGTACGAGCCCCGCAGAGGCGGTGTTGAGCGCGGAGGGGAAGCGAGGGGAGCCCCGGGGGTGCCAGGGCGGCTGCCGCGGGGTGGCGCCCGGTACCAGGACTGCGCGGCGCAGCCAGGTACCGCGCATCCCTGCGCGCATCGCCCCGCGGGCTCTCTCCGTTCTTCCCCACCGCACCGAACGGAGCGGAACCGAACGGAACCGAACGGAACCGAACGGAACCGAACCGCCCCCCCACCCCCGCCCCAGCTCCGTCCGTCCGTCCGTCCGTCCACCCGCGCCCATCCCCTCGCCCTCCCCTAGGGCGGGCGCTCGCCGCCCCTCCGCGGTGCCGTTGCGCGGCCGCGGTGCCTGCTCCAGGTGCGGAGGGTCCGCCCCAAGGACTACAGGTCCCGGCGTGCCCGGCCCCGCGGAGCCGGCGGAGAGGCTGGCGCCTGCGCGGGGCTGCGGGGCCGCTCCGCGGTGCCACACCCCCGGGGGAGGGCAGCAGGAGCGCCCGAGCCCTCAAACCGGCGGGGAGCCGGCGGGGCGGGGGATGGAGTAGCGGGACCGGGTGCTGCGGGAGCACACAGCGCGGGGAGCGGAGCGGAGCGGAGCGGAGCGGAGCGGAGCGGCAGGGGCCATGCACCGGGGCATAGCGGGCTAAGGGCTGGCGGCGGGTGGTCGCCCGGAGACTCCGCACCTCGGGAGTGACGTCCTGCTGCAGTGCCGCCGCCTGCCTACGCTGCCCGAGCTCGTCAATGGAGCTGGAAAACATCGTTGCCAACACCGTCTTGTTGAAAGCCAGGGAAGGTGAGAGAGCGGCCGGGGGGCAGTGGGGACCGGAGCATCCCTGTCGTAGTCACCCCTCCGCGGAGCGATGCCCGTGGGAAGAGGGGAGGGGGGGCGGTAGCGGTGGGGCTGCTGGCTTTCGGGGTGCCATGTGGCTGAGCCGGCGTTTTAACCGGTTCTTTCGTGCTGGAACCCCGGTGGAAAGGAAAATACCGCTTTCCCCAACAGTGTGCGGGGGTTTGGGAAAGGAAGTGAATGAGATTGCAGTGATTATAATATTCACCCATCTCTTCCTTCCCCCCCCCCCCCCCCCCCCAAATCTGGTCCCACAGATTGTGCTATTTCAGCGCCTATTGTTAAAGGTCAGCTGCAGATGCATTCATTCAAAAGGGCTTAGCAAATCTGCAAATAGCTTTCCGCGCCGTGGGGTGAGACCGGCAGGATCGCATCGCTCCAACCTACAGTCATTGCCTTATTCGGCGTTATTAGGTGATATCATGTTGCTGCAAACATGCCTGTTGTGGACGGGGGGGGGGATGTTTGTTCGCGGTCGGAGGGGATGGGGCTCGTTCCGTGCCCCGGAGAGCCCCGGGGCTCGCTGCATGGGGGCTGCATCCCGACCCGGACCGGCGGCGGGATGCTTCGGGCGATGCCGGTGCCGCTGTGTTCAGAATACAGTGGGGATCTCTTGTCCATCGCCCTTCCCGCCCCCCCGAACCCCCAAATCCGAGCTGCGGTAGCCGCCGGCACACAGGGCTCGCCGGACAGTGTGCTTTCTTCTCCGCGCAGTGCGGAGGGAGGCGATGCTCCGGGCGCTGCCGGCGGAGGGGGTCCGAGGCTCTGGGCTCTACCCGCGGAGCTCCCGGGAACATCCCCCGGCGGGAGGAGCAGCGCCGCGCACCAGCAACACGTCCTACGGCTGCGGCATCGCTGCCGAGGTGCGATCCGAGACGGACGGTCCGACAGGCTGAGAGCTGGGCTGGGTCAGCCTGGGAAAGAGAAGGCTCCTTAAGGGGGGACCTTAGCGCAGCTCCAGTGCCTAAAGGGGCTGCAGGAAATCTGGAGAGGGGCTGTAGGGACAGGCAAAGGGGAATGGCTTTAACCTGCCAGGGGGAGACTGAGATGAGCTCTTAGGCAGAAGCTCTTCCCTGTGAGGGTGCTGAGGCGCTGGCACAGGGTGCCCAGAGAAGCTGTGGCTGCCCCATCCCTGGCAGTGTTGAAGGCCAGGTTGGACACAGGGGCTTGGAGCAAGCTGCTCTAGTGGAAGGTGTCCCTGCCCGTGGCAGGGGTTGGAACTGGGTGAGCCTTAAGGTCCCTTCCAACACAAACCAGTCTGGGATTCTGTGATCTGTTGGCTGCAACCTGTTTAAATCTATGCGTCTATTGCCTTGTTCACTGCTTAAAATAAGCTGTTTCCTCAATCTTTATTTAGGCTTCTCTTCCCTGAAAAGAGTTGCTATGCTTTCAAGCGTGGTATAACCTGCAGCCCTTGTTCCCCTGCCCCCTGAAGTGCTGGGCACTGCCTGCCAGTGAGGCTGGGGATCACTCAGTGTACTTCAGCCTGCGTCCCTCTGAAGCTGTGGAATTACAAGTAAAGCAATGTTAGTTTAGTAAAAGGGATCATTCCAATAGCCCTCCCCTGGCGTGATCCTTTTGCTGGGAAAATAGTTCCAATTGTAAAATACTGTTTATATAACTCCTGGGCTGTTGAACTTGTGAGGCTTGAAAGAGTAAAGTCCTGAGATCCTCCCCAGAAAAGCTCTATAAATAATGAGGGCAAAGGTGTGTGATTCCGTTTGGCAGATTGATGAATTATAACCCCCTTCTGATGGAGAACTTGTATTTAAAATGGTAACAGAAAACACAACTTAGGATGGAGTTGTTGCTCCCAGCAATGCAGTACTCGCTTGGATTTCAGTAGGCTTTAGGACTACTTTAAAGGACTGGTATTAATTACAGTCATTGTGTGGTGTGTTCCAAGAGCCAATATTTTGCAAGGAATTCTAAATGTGCCACTCAGTTTTATGGTCCTTTTCTACCCTCCCCAGCAAGATGGTAACAGTAATGGTGGTTTATTGTGTTAAAGTCTTATTGAAGAAGCTGTTAGCTGTAACCCAAATGGCAGAACTTTATCAGGTTTACTCCAAACTATATTCCAACTTTTAATCATATATGAAGCTCCAGCAACTTGTATTTTTGAGGCTTGGTGCTTATTTATTTCTAAAACTCTTTTGCATGGGGTGCTGAATCTTTTATAATGAAGGATAAAGGCCAGGCTATGGACCTGACATGGGAGCCATGATTATTCTGCCTGTATCGCTTGTGTTTCCATGTTTTTTAGCTATTGCAAGCTGCTGTGAGTAAAGTGTTCTTAAGATTTGCGGAGAGTAATGTAGGTGGATGTCATTTCATTGCGATTGGAGAAGACAGACAGCATATGGAAGACCAAGACTGAAAGCAAATTAATATATTGAGGCTTATGATATCTAAAAATAAGTTTGTTCCCGGTCCTGCTGACTCCATCAATACGTTTAGCTGGGTGATTGTGTAGCCAAAGCCAAGTACATGCGTGTGTGTTTCCACTTGTGAAGGCAAAAGTAAGAGCTTTATTACTGGTACTTGTACATGTGCCTGAACAAGGCTCCAGGGAGACCTTAGAGCAGCTTCCAGTGCCTAAAGGGGCTACAAGAAACCTGGAGGGGGAATTTGGACAGAGGGTGCCCAGAGAAGCTGTGGCTGCCCCATCCCTGGCAGTGTTGAAGGCCAGGTTGGACACAGGGGCTTGGAGCAAGCTGCTCTAGTGGAAGGTGTCCCTGCCTGTGGCAGGGGTTGAAACTGAATGAGCTTTAAGGTTCCTTCCAACACAAACCAGTCTGTGGTACTTAATGTCAGAAGAAGGAAAATGATGATATGCACTCTGCACTCAATAGTAAAAGCAGGTTTTTTTCCTTGTCCCAATGGCAAGGAGAGCACAAACCCTGTGTCAGCAGCAACAGAGAAGTTTCAGGTTGGTTTCAAAGGCAGGTGCAGGTAGGCCTGCAATGCTCAGTCCAGGTCTTCTGTCAGGGGCTCAGAATTAGGGTTGAGTGACCACCACAAACATTTTCTAGCAAATATTGGTTTAAATTTTGCAACCATTTGCTTTGGCCTCGGTAGCATTTTTCCTATGGTCCCTTGTGCGGGTTCATTTGTGACCAATTTGTACTGAAGCAACCCCTGATGCAAAGTGAGCTTTTTCAGCTGAAGCACCAAGAAGCAAGTTTTATAACTGTTTTATACAAATACTTGCACTTGCATCCTGATGATTGCAACGAGAAGCACACCCAGAATTAACTGATGCCATGTGATACATGAGTAATCTTATTAGAGCAACCAAATGCCGTTCACATACAAAAATGTATTTCACTGAATAGTGTTGAGCAGGGAATAAATTTCAGGCAGTCTTCAACTTTTTGCAGAATATAACGTTTTTAACACAAAATTACACGTAAGTTACTTGTTATACTCAGGGGTCTGCCAGTCTGAACATGTAGAAATTGGAGTTTTATTGCATTTGAAAGTTCATTCATGATTTATGAGGAATAAGTTTGTGCTGTGTCCTCAGTTATCATTTCTCATTTCTTGGATGCGAAATCCCATTTCACAACTCGCTAGTCCCTTTTAGGAGTGAATAGAAAATACATCTGGCGTAATTATAGGAACCAAATAGGTATTTGGGACTATCTTACGTTGCCTGGGGAAAGCAGAGAAGGGAAGACAAGAAAGATAAGAATCAGAAGAAAAGCAAAATAATAACAGTATCAGTCATTTTGGGTTTAGTAAGAACCTCAAATTATAAGGTGGTGAAACATTTATCTGGATCTTTTCATTAGCTGCCTTGTTTCTGAGCCTCAGCCATCACGTCTGAAACACAGAATCGGGTAGCCATTAGTGATGGAGATACACCATCCTGTTGGCGGTGAATCCAGGTTGGTGAATGAGTCCCAGTTTGTTTTATGGGTGTTGGACAGAGGACATCATGAGAATCGAGGGGATCAGGAGAGACTGAGGGCTGAGTCTCCCACTGTTTCAAAGGAACTTTAACAGCCCTAAACCAAGGGAGCTTTAAAACACATCCACAGACTCGTGAATCTGCCCCTGCCTGTCAAAAGCGGTAAGATAAAAGAAGTCTTTCAAAGAGGCTGATGATTAAGCCATGATGTTTGTATGAAAACCAGACAATGTGGTCAGATAAGCAATAGTGATTACTTGGATACTCTTCTGCATGATCCCTTCCTTTCCAGCTATAAGATCAGTCTTCCCTTGTGTTACCTGTGGCTTCTATGTGCAGGAGCTTTCTTAGACAACCTCAAACACATTTCAAAACCCAAAGACAAATTCACTCTGAAACTGCAAAGTCCTTTGTACAAACAGACTGACAATTCCCACCGCTTTAAACCTGTAGTGATAAATAAGTTAGTCATCACAGTTATTAGCTTTAAAACAGCCAGTTTGGAAGAGAAACTATTGTTTTTCTCAGACCCGGGGTTTCTAAAGTACAAAGTTACCATTTAAACCTGGTAAAAAGGAGGAAAAATCGTCCTTCAACCACTAAACCACAGCACAAATGCATTTTCCTCCCCTTTTTAGGTAGACTGGAATTCTCAAATAAGCTCATTTATGGCACCTAAGCAGAGCCTTTGATCGGCCCAGCCAAAAGGAGTGCCCTTCTTTTATCTGTCTCAGTGCTTTTTGATGAGCGCACGCTGCTGCCATATAACATGTGAGAAGTGCCCGTTCATAAATTGCTGTATTTTTAGCTTGCTTTTGCGGGATGATCACAGGAGAGATGTGTGTGTGTGTGTGTGTGCGTGTGTGTGTGTGTCTCCTTGTTGGCAGAAGACTCACAATAAATCCTCACCAAGAAGCGTGATTGCTTTCCAAGAACTTGGCTGCAGAGTGATTGGAAAAAAGGCAGTAGAACAATGAAAAGCATATTTTGAAGGAAAGAAGGTGACTACAGTGACAGCCAAAACGCATGG